GAAAGAAAGAAAGAAAGAAAGAAAGAAAGAAAGAAAGAAAGAAAGAAAGAAAGGAAGGAAGGAAGGAAGGAAGGAAGGAAGGAAGGAAGGAAGAAAGAAAGAAAGAGAGAAAGAAAGAGAGAAAGAGAAAGAAAGAAAAAGAAGACATTTCATGAACTAGCTTGGTGGCTCAGGCCTCTAATTCCAGCTACTCAGGAGACTGAGTCAGGAGGATTATAAGATCAAGGCCTGTCTGGACTGCAGGATGAGTTCAAGGCCAGCCTAAGCAAGTAGTGTGTCAAATCCTGTGTCAGAATAAAAGGAATAAAGAGGCCGGAGATTGTTTTAGAAGCTGTTCCCAGAGACACTGGTGCTCACCTCCCCACCCGAGGGCAGGCCTGCCAATCACCAGGATCCTGGTTCTACTGTTCGGTCTCATCTCAGGTTCAGGACCACACCAAGCTGCCTCGCTTTGCTGTTGACTCTGTGCCTGGAAGGCATCTTAAAGAAGAGGAAGACAGTAGAGAATCTAAACTGGGATGGAAGGAAGTCTTCCTCATCCCTGGAGTTTTCTGGCAGCAAGAATAATGCCATGCTTTCTCAGCGCTGTGATGGATACTGGGATTGGCTCCTTGGCTGAGGTAAAGAGGACCTGCTCAGCCAGCTCTGTCACCTCAGCACTCAGACCACGGAGACCTATAATCAGGACGAGTCCCTTGGAACTCACCCTGAGTGGGGACAGGGTGGTCCGCACTGGGGCTGAAGCCGTTCTGGAGCTCCATTCTGGTCAGTCATGGCCACACACCTCACATCTCATTCTTTTTGTCAGGCCATGTGATGGTTTGAATAAGAATGGCCCCCATAGGGTCCTGTATGTGAATGCTTAGTCACCAGGGAGTGGCACTATTTCAACAAGATGGGGAGGTGTGGCCTTGTTGGAGAAAGTGTGTCACTGGAGACGGGCTTTAAGGTTTCAAAAGCCCAAGCCAGGCCCAGTGGCTTTCTCTTCTGGATGCCTGTGGATCCCAATGTAGAACTCTCAGCTCCTTCTCCAGCACCATGTCTTCTTGCATGCCACCACGCTCCCTGCCATGATGGGAATGGACTAACTCTCTGAGACTATAATCAAGCCCCAAGGAAGTACTTTCTTTTGTGAGAGTTGCCATGGT